TCTTATATTGTACATTTTGTGGGCCATAATTCTGAAGTTAAATTAAGAATTACATTTTGAGATTAAACTCAAAAGATAATTAGAAAAGTCCTTACCCTGTGGAAAGACAAAACAGCTGAGACAATTTCCAGCGGTCAAGAATAAGGCAAACAGGAAGAACAGGAACACTTGAACTCATTCAACTTTAGAAATTCCTGTTTCTCCTTTCCGTTTTACATAAATATCAAACAATGGCCAAAATTATGGGTTTAATTACATTTTCATATTTATTGTTCCATGTCTGCTTGGAATGCACGGGTATTTGCTTGTATCTATAATGCAACAAATACTACTTCCCGTGTAAGTCAGAGCATGTTTACACGTATTTACATTCACGGTTTTAAATGCGGTCATGACACGTTTTCTGTTTAAAAATACCACAACGCCAGAAGAATCCTCCCAGTTGTACTCAATGGAAAATTACAGGCGGCTGCTTATGCTAATACAACCTGTTAACTTGGAAGCTAACGTGGCTAACCACTTACCTCCTAAACAGCCCGCAGCGAAGTCCAATGCCATTCCCCTAAAGAAACCCTAAATCGGCTAAAACTCCTCAACCACACACGGCAGTAGAAAACAAACAAATCACCTTCTCTCCAGAGGCTGTCTGACTGTAATTATTTACAAACTCGGCTAAATCTTTAGCCGAACTCGTGCCTCTCCTTTGGTTGAACTAGCTGCTGATGCTAAGCTAATAGAAGACGGGTTTTTCTAAGGCAAGTGCAGGTGAACGAACTTAAACACGAAGCTTTGAATGCTTGGATGAAATTATGATACAAGAAACTATGCTGCTGATGTGGCCGCGCTCTCTCGGTCCCACCTTTCTATTTCTGTAGGCGCAGAAGAGGGGGCGGGGGCTGGGAGGGAAAAAGAAGAAGCATGCTTGGCCTTTTTAAGGCGCTCCAATCCGGGGACATGTAGGAAGACAACTCCCAGCGCCTGCTGTCCGCCCCTTACAGTCATTGGCTACAATGGAGGCAGCTAATGGTCGATCCTCTCCAACGTCAAAACCAACAGTGTTATCATGTGTGCCTGACTGTCCAAGTGTGGACGTGTGTACTGTAATTAGGTCCGAGCTGGGTTGTATTGGAGTCACCACTGTTTCTGAAGTCTATAGTCAACAGAGAAAAGTCACAGTGAGTCACCAGAGTCACCAGTGTGACCCAAGCAAAGTTAGGGTGAGGCCAGAATCTCAAGTCTTAGTCACTCAGTCAGAAGAAAGGGCTGTGATGTTTAATTCTTGTCCATGAAGCCTGAGTTTGAGTCTCAGTGACAAAACAAAACCTCAAGTCAGGCCAAGTTCTAGTCAACAAGTTAAAAGAAAAGTCTGTAAAGTTCTATTTTTAAAAAGACATTTGCATTCCAGTGACTTAAACTTTAAATTACATCTAATTAAACTATTTGGATTTGATTTTTGATCTGGACACGTTATTTAGTATTCAACAATGTGGTTTCAGGTATTTCATTATGTGGAGTAAAAATCATAAATCTGTTTTCATATTATTTTTTATTCATGATTGTTTTGGGGTGCTCTTCTCCCCCCTCCGCCCTCCAAATCATTTCCAGAAACAACAACTTTTCACTGTTGAAGTGTAGTTTTAATGTTATCCAGGCCATGGTGAATGAAGAGATTTACCTACATTGATATTTGTTTTTCCTCCTGGTGTAGACAGATAAGAACATGATTTTACTACATAACCACCTTCCAAAGCATGACTTCTAAACCATCATTCTGTACCGTGGGTGTGTAGCTGAGTTACACAGATTTCATCGGTGCCATTAAAACACCTTTCTCTTCCGCTAGTGGGCTGATTCTCGAGCACAGAGAGGGAATTACTACAGTATTAGAGCAGGACTGATAATTCAATCATTCAAACGTTTACATTAGAGACATGTATTTTTGGGTGAAGCTTTGATGTTTAGTTTAGCATGTCCAGCGATTCTCTCCAGTTAATGAGTAAACAATTGATTGTTCTTCATATGAATTCCCCTTTGAAAAACAACAAAGACTTGGATTGGTTCAAGCAGGCTAGTGTTTAAAATTCAAAGGTCTGGGAGTCATGAACTGCTTCACTATTTCGTCCGTGACTTGTTTGCGTCTCTCTTGGTGCTGGGCGATCATGGGCTGCAGAGTCTCAATCAGAAGCTTCTTCAGCTCTCCGGTGAGAAGAGCTCCACTCGTGTAGTCCTGTGGGAGGACAGAGGATAGGATTAGTAGAATCTACAACATAGGAGGAGTTCAGGGAAAGATGGAGTTTTATATACCAAGAACAGGGAACACAAAAGAAAGAAAAAGAAGTGATACGTTGTTGTTTTTCACATTCTCACCTGTCTAATCTTCTCCAGCTGTTCATCATCTTCCAGGAAGAAAGTCAGATACATGAAGGAGACGTCGACGTCTGCGTTTCCACCATATTTCCTGTGCTCTTCCACTGTGTCTTTGCCTCCAGAAAAGGCGTGTTTGTTGACCTGTGAGTCAACGTTTAAGAATTTGCGTTCACTCCTTCAGCAAACACAGGGCTGATTTATCTGTTTGACTACTAACCACTGACAGCGTTACCTTGTTTTTGATTTGCTTGGGCGAGTCGGTGAGGAAAATGGAGGAATTGGCGTCACTGGCGCTCATTTTGGTCTGCGCCCCCTGCAGGGCAGGAAAGAAAGTGGAGTGCAGCAGGGCTGGTTTGGGATAACCGATTCTTGGAGCAACGTCACGGGTCATCCTGAAGTATGGGTCCTGTGTGAGGAGGGGAGTTTCAGCAGCAGGTAACTATAAATACTACTGTAAAATGCAGTCTGCATATTGCTGCAGTATTGTCCTGACCTGGTCAATAGCACAGGGGATGAGACACTGGATGTCCTTTCTGCTTCCAAAAATATGTGGGAATGAGTTGCTAAAAGATGGGGCGGCCTGGATCGCTGGGAAGCTGATTTTTCCTTCAGGGATAAGATGAAATAGATCATTAAGTTGGATTAAACATTTTAAAGTACTGCAAGAGTTGAGGACAAAATTGTGTACACAATTTTTCTTTGTGGAAAAACCATCACAGTTGAAGGTTTAACTGTGACCTCAAATTAACTCTAGACATTTTCTGTGAGTATTTACCTATTTTGACGTAAACTTTAAAATAGGTAAATAAACCAACAAGTGAGCAGTGTCAATTCTGACTACATTGGTATTTATTTAAAAAGCTTCTCATATTCCTCCTTCAGTCATAGCTCCCTCCAACCTCTCAACATTTTTAGTTAAAAATGCACTGAAA